ACATATAAAACGAATAATGGTGTAACAATAAAGATAGCAGACGAAATATAGCTATAAAACTAAACATATCTTACCTCGAGACATATACAACCATAATACAATATTTAATACAAATATACACCAGATACATCCAAGACATAAACATCTTCCAATAGTATATTTAATACAATTTAATATCGGATTAAGCAGCCAGACATGTATATACTATCATATAATATTTAATGCTGACATAGACCAGACAAAATACACATTCTAATATATAGTACTTAATACTGACATACACCAGACAAAACTCCAAGACAAATAAACCCACATCATCATATTTATTAGTGATATACATCAGAGTAAATATGTTTTACCCTTAACTACACACATCCACAGTGTAATATTTAATATTACCATACACCAACTTCAATAAATATATACATCCTACAATATACCCTCGAGACATCCTACCATATGATACTTAATACTGCTATACATATAATCTACTGATGAAGTACATTGATGGTTGAAATTAAAGATGAAAGTTTTCAGTCTTTGTTGTCCCTTTATATCAACTTGTATGTAGACACGTTGATGATATAAAATGTTACAACGAAACTCAGCCTGTTCAAGACCGACACCTCTATTTTATAGATCCTGATTTTATTGTCTTTCTTTAAATCGGGCCTCTATCAGGTTCTGACATACGAACCTTTAAGAAGGCTGTCTTATCCTTTCAAAATCTCAAACTCTTGACGTACTAATTTCAATAAGCTTCTCAATTTATTCTCGCTGATATAACTGTCTTGTAGTAGCAGATGCGTAGGTTTCCATGGTAAGCATACTTCGTAGTTATCTCCCTTGCAGACAATGTTCACCAAGAATTCATCACGAAACGGCTGTCACTGGATGCAAATAGCCTATACTTCCTTCGTTCTGTTCCTGTTTTCTTCTATACTGACTTCATGTATACATTATTGTGTTGAACATCTTAAAACGTGAGTAGTAACCAGGTTTTTGCTTTGTTCATCTTGTGCCATATTGCCCTGGAAAGGTCAAAGTTCAGTGTGTATAGCTGTAGGATCTTGACTCTTTCTTATAAACTTGTCAGTTAAAATCTCCAAATACTGATTTGAACCAACTCCTGAATGCTATTCTTTAAAGTAATCTACAACGGTGCTGGTATATAGTCCCTAATTTAGCAGTGTAAGACTAGAGGGAAGGCAGCTAGTCATCACCACCCACCGCCAACTCTTGGGCTACTCTTTTACCAACGAATAGTGGGATTGACCGTAACATTATAACGCCCCCACGACTGAAAGGGCGAGCATGTTTGGTGTGACGGGGATTCGAACCCGCGACCCTCAGATTGTGAGTCGAGTGCCCTAACCACCTGGCCATGCCGGGCTATCCTTATGGACCTTATCCTTATGACATAGACCTCTGGATAGTCAGTTGGATCACAGTGGCATTATTCGAAAGGAGGGTCACGCTCTGCACAGGTATGTAGACATCACAGTAGCAGACTATTCTACTAGGACTGCCTCAGGGACCACTTATTTCCTCTGACCTATTCAGTATATAGATCAAAAGTGCCAAAATGCAGTCAATGGGCCTTGGAAAAAACTTATATTGCAGAATACATGGTAGTCTACAGGAGTGATCAGGATAGAACACCAATTGCAAAAGAGCTGTACCACTGGTGGCATTTTGGGTTGGTGTGAGAACAAGAGTGATATCATTAATCCAGAAAAAGCATTCGTACTATGGTGCTCAATTGACAATTGGATAGTGAATGCTTATGTTCCAGAAGTGGCGATCATTGGATCTTCCATAAAGTGTTGTGATACCTGGGCATTTACATTTATGGCTCAGTTACCACAGGTGATTATAGCAGATGGGTTTTTTTTTGGCCAGATAGTCTGGGCTTGTTGTTGCTGAACAAAGTGTAGCATACAGTGCCACAACATAAAGTATGCAGATGGAGCTTGAAGCTACATTAGCTGCCCTGAGATTGCTTGAGGACCAACCTGCCATACACGCACTAATTTATCTGATTCCCGAAGTATGCTGTATAAAATAGGAACTGGATGACTTCTCGTGGAATTGCTACAATATCTGTGAAAGTTGCACGTGAAGAGCCTAGCATGGGTAGTTTTCTCAGTTCATGTTGGGGTCCAAGGAAAGAAAAGGGCAGATAAACTGGCTGGTTAGGCTCTCACTTGTGGCAACTAGTGGCCAGACAAAACAAAGATTGTGAAGGCTTTATGGGAAATCTTTGAGCAGAACTCCAGAGAGGCTGAAGAAGCAACAACGAAAAGACTCGCGAAGCTTTTGTTCTCTAGAAGGGATGGAAGAAAGTCCTGACTGAGAGGGAAAAAGCAGTGGATGTACAATCAATATGTCACAGGAAGAATCAGTACTCTCGCACTTCGATGGCTACTAAGGGTGGAACAGAGCATGCATTGGAATATTCCAAGTGCAGAGATGTCAGTCCTTTAACAAAGTAACCAAGTGAATGTTGATTATAGTTTTAAAGTAACTCAAGCCACAAAGAAAGGTGTTTTTTTTTTCAGTTCATGTTTTGAAAGTCAAGAAGGCGGAAGAAACGGTAGAAATGCTTAAGTGGAAGAAAAAAGCACTTCCCAAAGGTGTTAGAAATACTCTGTATATGAGAAACCTCTTGGGGAGTTGGTTGCAAGATTTAAAGGGGTGGGATATTTACTAACCATTTAAACTTTTCAGTCTTGTCCTAAATTACTTTAAGTTTACTTAAAACTCTCAAGTTGATGAAGAAAAATGGTAACTGCTTGATAAGAGTATAAATATCTGCTTGACAGATTCCCTCCCTTATAGACAGGTAAAGGAAGCAAGGAAGTCTGTAGATGTATATTGAATGACACACTAATGGAGGGAGTATGCTGGTGAATCATCATTGTTACTCCTTCCTGAACACTTATGTCAGACAATCTTTTCTTTCTATGTAATAAATACTGGCAAATGGTTGGAGTATTGACAGGTTTCAGGAAAGTTTTCTGTGAAGAAATATACCCACAGGATTGCGAAAATAGATCAAAACCTTGTTTGATGTCATCAAAATTAGCAAGCAAACGTAGACAGTTTCATTTCATTAACATTTTTACCTAAGAAATTGTGTAACCAGTTCTAGGAGGAAGACCTTTAAAAGATCTAAATTTCTGAGTTCACTCTTTGGTTTGTCTTTGACAGGTCAAAAGACCTCCATAGACTTTGTCCATGAATTACCACTCGATGGATGTGACTCAAAAGAGCATGGGCTAGACCTATTTGTTCTTGGATACTGTACACAGGCAAACAAACAGGAGTAGAGGGAGGAAGACAAAGTGCATACATAAGAAGAGAAGTACTGTGGCATAGAATTATTAGTCTGCAACCCAAATGAGGAGAGTATCTCTGCTTTAATATTAGGATGTGATCAATTTCCGTACCCTAGGATAAGAAATATTTTTAATACTCCAGTATGCTGAGACGTTTTACATTTTTCCCTCTTTGGGCACAACTAATAATAGGATGCATGTGAGTTCTGACAGTTGACTCAGTAAGGTTGAAAAGTACATATAGCACCGAAATTGACACTTGTTGGTGAGACACAATAGGATATCTTACAAATGCTAAACTGCTGGCTGTGGAAACATTGAAATGGATTTGAAATATATGGCCAAGTACGACAAATGAAATATTTTTAGTTCACTTTTACAGGTAATTCGACAGAAAAGAATGTGTGAACAAGAAGTCTGTTGGCTAATATTTTCATTTTTTGGACAAGTATCTGTTAGATAGCAACCAGACGCTGGGCTCTCAGTTAGAAAGATAATGTCCTCATTTGGGATGCTGAGAATATCAGCAAAAGAAATTACCCCACAAAGGAGAGTTCAGGGCGTGATGAGGGGTTGTATTACCTTGGATTTTCCTAATAATGTTAGATCTTAAAAGGATCTCACTTTCCTTATGCTTCATTGTTTCAACAGATTTATCTCCCAGTTAGAGTTTCTTAACCAACTAGGAAGAGACATAAAGTCCCTCTAAGCCCTTAAGGATATAAAAGATGGCAATGTATTCAGAGATTTAACAGATAAGGAATAGCCACGTGGAAAAGAGGAAAATATAATGACCACTGAGCCCCACCCACCACAAAGCCCCGTTACACTGCCAAATCAAAACATTGCAGCAACATCAGGTGATTGCAAGTACCTTACACCAATCAACAGCCATAAATGTTGTCCACAAAAGTTGAGGGCTTCTAATATTAGCAATCAGTTGAACCTAGTCACAATTTACCAGATCATTGACAATGAGGAGGATCTCCTGTTTACACAAATTCTAGGCCAGTAGAAGAATCTAGGCTTTACTCCTTGGGAAAACTTGTTAAATCATCAAGTTTCTTATGCTAAGTTCTTAATAACCTCGCTACTTAAGAAATGAAACTCACAGCGACACTTCTTGTGGAAATACACGTGTATTACTCTCTCGTGATCACTCTTTACTCAACTGTTATTTTTAGCAGTAAACATATATATATATATATGTATACACCTGTATCTCAGAAGTATGCTTCCTACTATAACATGTAATCGGTAGTACATCTATTAGGGAAAATACCCAACAGAATAATATTAACTATATGGAACACGTCATGATATAAACATCATGTATATTTCGCCATCAGTTTGTTGCTCAACAACAAATTGTCCAATACTCAATGTAATTAATATAAATTAAACTAATTCCACATTCACAGTTTGATAACATAAAGTTTACTTGAGAGCCCAAGACACTTGGTTAAAACTGCAGTTCTGCCATTCCCTGTCGTCTCAACCTTTTTCCTTCCATTCCAGGTTTTCGGGATCCTCTAGGAAAATTTTCATCCCGAACTAACACAATATATTTAGCTCTTACGCTCGCAGATACCGTTTTCTGGTTAATATGGCTTTGGGAATCTCCAAAATCTTCATTCTTCCATCTTCCAAAAGTGGTTCATAAGTTTACTAAAACAATAATTTGCTCAAGGTCTCTGAAGAAACCACGGAATCACAATCAAATGAAATATCGTGTGAGGGTTTCTTCAGGATCCTCTGATGAAACAAAAGAATGAAAATGGAAGTTCAAAATCATTTGAACATCAATCATAACAGCTATAATTTCATCAGCAATTGGTTAGCTGTATCAATAGCTTCCTCAGGTAACTTTTCAGGTACCTTCTTCAAATAATATGACCACTTGATGTGCCCTCCTTAAAAATATTGCATCACTTTTAGACCATTCATCAGTACATTAAGCTCCTTTGATGAAGATGTAAACGTTTTAGCATTGTCAGAAACTATAGCAAATGGAACAGATCTACGAGCAGTAAATCTCTGAAAACATCTAGAAATACTGCAGAAGTAAGATGTGGAAAATCTTTCAGGTGAACATCTCTGATTATATAGCATGAAAAAAGACAAATCGATATTCTTTCGGTGGGATTATCTGCCATCTAGATGTTCAAAGAACCCACAAAATCTACTCGTTTGTACGAAATTGGTGGCACCTTCTCAACTCTAAACTCAGGCACAGGTGGAGGAAATGGTATACAAATCATACGCTTGAATGGCAAATTTCTTACAAAATATCTGCCACGAATGATTCAAAATTGTGATCTCAAATCCATGATAGTTTCCTTCGCACCTCCACGCTTTACTCTTTATAGCAGTTTCATATAACAAAAGCAGTAAAATGATGACTAGTGTTAAGTATGATTGGATATATTATTTGCCATTCTCCTCTTACATCTGAGCAAAACGATCTCATTAGTTAAAGGATCAAAAAGATGAAAGTGTTGGTTCCAAGTCTCAACCTTATTTCTTGTTCTTTACAAGTCTTAATAATAAGCTGGAAAACAAAGGCTTATAAGCGTAATAAAGTGATTTATTTTTTGTGGAACATACTACGTGTTTCGACAGAACATTAATCTGTATTCTTCAAGCTAGCACAGATAGCCCTCGTGTAGCTTTGCACAAAATTCAAAACAAACAAACAATTTCAGTTCTTCCAGTAAGATTGTAGATGACTTGTACTTTGAAGCAGCATAATATTCTTCCATGGTTATCACGACAAGAACCAATTAGATTGGCTGTTAATTCTATCAAACTTTCATGACTAATACTTAAAATGTGGCATTCAGACTAACAAACAGGTCCAGTACTTTGTTGAAATTAAAAAATATCATAATATTTTGGTTCAGTCAGCTATATTACTCAGTTGTTTAAATAAAATATTTTAATATATATTCATGCTGTAAAATTTTGAAAAATACTTTTAATAATGAACACCCATTATTTGTTTATGTAATGTGTAAATAATTTAAGAAGCTGTGTTATTTATTTTATTGGTGTGTCACATTGTTAAAAAAACAAAATAATTTGATAATATGCAAGCACTTAATCCCTTACATGTAAGAATTATGGAATTGTGTTGATGAAATACCTCTAAAACCAAACTGGATTTGCTAATACATTTATATATTATGTTTTTCAGCCTAGAACACTGCTCTCCTGTAATTCACCATTGTGATGCTTTGCAGGTATTCTTTGCTTTAAGCTAGTTTAGAGTTTTAGTTATGCATACATTAGCAAAACCATTGGACTAGACAACAATCATAGAACATGATTATATATTTGTTCTTAAATTAAAATATTTAATTTGTTAGTAGATGAACTAATTCATTATGGTAATTTAGTAGGGGCATAACTTAATTACTTTGCTTGACAAGTATGGCTTCTCTTACATGTGTAGGTATTTGGTACTGTGTACTGCTTAGTGAAAATGTGAAATATGCACCTGATAAATCAGTGGGTATCAACATGATGAAATTTCAAAGGATTTTAAATTTAGATTATCTGTTCATTCTGTTGGTTAATGGACATCTGCTGAGTAAAAGGAGTCTGTTCATTTTAAATGTACACTATCTAATAAGTTATACAAGTCAAGTACAGCTTTGTAAGTTGCTCTAAAGGCAAGAAAAATTTCATATTTTGTGTGAAGAAATAATTTAATCATTTATTTAATACAATACCTGTCCATGGTATGTGTGTAACACTAAGTGTAATAATGTTTTTAACATTGAAGGTAGTTATACCTTTGTACTTCGGTATAAGGTTGTGGATTTTTTCAAACTATCGAATTATGTGCGAGTTACATTTATGAAACAAAACCTGCATATTTCATTTCATACAAAGTAACATAAAACTAACCTAGTAATTTGTCAATCATAATATCAATTTAACATAAATAGAGATTAAAGGACCTTCATGTCTTATGGAAAAACATATTACTTACAAAGTTTTTTGCACCATCTCTGGAATACTCATGCATCAAATAAATATTTCTCCTTATATTGTTTGGGAAGTTACTGTATGGAAAATGGGTTTTGTTCTAGCCAATTTTCTTTTCATAATGTATTTCATAACTTTAAAGATTTCTTTATAAGTAAAAAAAACAACAACAGTACTCTAATGTTTTCATTTAATGTTTACCAGTAGTTTAAGTTTTAAACAGTTGTATTTTTCTTGTACAATCCTTGCAATTTTTATAATGTCTTTCAGAACAAACCTACTGGAAGGAAAACAAGTCTAACAGAAAGTTCAAAAAACAAATGTTGTGTAAAAACCTGTAATCAAAAGGAATTGATATCTTTCATTTGTGAATTTTGTGGTGAAAATGTGTGTTTGCATCATCGTCATCAAGTTGATCACTCATGTGAAAAGTTAGTTCCTCCTGAAGAACCAATGAAAAAGACAGCTGAAGTAGTTCGAAACATTCTAGGTAAGATACACCACTTTTACTCTCAATTTTGTTTTGAATTTAACCTTTGTTTTCAGATTTTGCTGAACCTTCCCATCTACCACCTGAGGAATCCTTAATGCTAACTATTTTTGGATTTAGTTTCTCAGGTATGTGATGTTTTATCTCTTTTTCCTATTTCTTATGAGCCACATCCTTCCTTACTACATGACCAATCCTCCCTCCCCTTTTTGGTTTTTTTCTCCCTCCCCTGATATTTGGGTTCATGCTGATCAATTTGCCTAGCAATTAAGCAATGAGATTGACATGCCTCCCCACCATGGGCTTCAGAGCAGTTTGTGCTTTCATACCATAGTGCTGACTGTCCTTTTTGGGTCAACAGTTGTTAGGTTCTATATTGCCTGGTTTGGGGGGGGGGGGCGTAACTCAGCAAGCCATCGAACTTGTTCTCCCAAGAAAACCGGGAATTGGAGGCTGGTCATAGATTTATCTGACCTTAACCACTTTGTTCACCTGCCCTGGTTTACCATGGAATCTTTTTTTCACCTTGAGGTGGGCATTTTCTTCAGGTTTATGGATGGCCCCAATGCCACCTTGGTCTTGTCCTTATCTTCAGTTTGTCCATCTCAGGGTGGTTTATCAATTTCGAGCACTACCATTTGGGCTTGTCTCAGCCCCTTATGTTTTCTTTCAGGTGGTCCAAGCATTTGCTCGACATCTTCGTGTTTTGGGGTTGAGTTTTCACTATTACATGGACCACTGGCTTCTTCTGGCTCATTCCAAATTGAAATCGGCCAGCCATACTTGGCAGCTCCTTTTATTGGCTGCTGGAGTGGACTGGTTAATCAAACTGGAGAAGTCCTTCCTCAGACCTATTCAATATCTCGTCCATTTGGGGGTCCTTTTCGACACTCGTGTCATTTGGGCCCAGCCTTATCCTTTAAGACTTTGTTCTATGGAATTATTAGTTTGCCACATCCTCTTGGTTCAATCACTTACTTCTCATGAGGTTCTGTCGTTTTTGGGGATGTGTTCTTCAATGACGTTACTGGTCCTTCTTGGTCGTGCTCATATGAGATCCCTTCAGTGGGCTGTTCACAATCAATGGAACCTTGCACAGGATCCTCTTTCTACTCCCATTACCCTTCTTATTACCCTGCAAGACGATCTACTTTTGTGGTTGGACAAGGCACATACTTCAGTGGGCATGCCACTTCCTCCTCTGTGTTCATTTCTACATCTTTTCACAGAGACATCCCTGCAGGGCTGGGGTGCATGGGTCAACCATCAGGAAGCTTCAGGCTATTGGTTTGTGGATGAAAGTGCTTCACATATCAATGTTCTCGAACTTTTAGCTGTACATTGGCCATTAAATTACTTCCTTTTTCTTGCTAGACATTTTCTGGTGATGATTCATTCAAACAATTCCACGATGGTGGCACGTATCAATCACCAAGGGGGCACCCGGTCAAGAAGTCCATGTTTTTGGATGTTGGATCTCTTATACTGGGCCCATATGCAACACATTCACCTCGATATATCTGACAGTATCCCTTAGATCCCCTTATTTTCTGGGAGCTTTGCACTCATTGGGGTTCTCCCCATTTGGATGCCTTTGCTACAAGCCTCAATCACAAGTTACCTCTTAATTGGTTACTGGTTCATCAGGCTCTGGCAATCGATGCCTTCAGCCAAGATTGGTCCCACAAATATCTTTATGTTTATCCTCCTTTCAGATTACTTCACTGTGTGATCTCTCTCACTCTTACCCCTCCTTCTGATTGCCCCTATTGGCCAGCTCAGCTATGGTTTCCATGGTTACACCACCTGCTACTCTCTCCTCCTGTACCTGTTCCGTTTGTCTCCCTACCTTCTTTATCAACCTGAGTTGCTGGTCCTGTATCTTCACACCTGGCTTTTATCTAGTCCTTGGCAAGGAGATCCAGTTTCTCCCATCGAGTTGCTCTCTTTTTAGCTGGTTCCATACATCCTACTTCCATGGAGGGGTATCTAATGCAAGCGGAATATGTTCTGCAGTTGGCCTTCAACTCGGGATTTCCTGCTGACCAGCCTACTTTGGCTCAGGTGGCAGAATTTCTCACTTGGATTTTTGATCAAGGGTCCTTGGCATCCTTGCTCTCAAGTTATTAAGTGGCTTTATCCCGTACCTTATGTTTTTCCTGATATTCTAGAGTTTTTACTTCACCTGTCCTTATCCTGCTGCTCTGTTCATTCCAGTTCCATTGCCCTCCCAGGCAACCTACCCTTCCAGATTGGAATGTTATTGTGGTCCTCCATTCCCTCACTTTACCTCCATTTGAACCACTTTCCTTGTGTTCCATGTTTCATCGTTCCTTCAAAACGTTTCCTTCTCCTCTTAGTCTTTGGATGTCGACGGTTGGATTTGTTTGCCATTGACATTTCACGTACATTTTATCATCCTACCTATCTTCTCCTTTATCCGGATCACTCCTTCTTCTCAAAGACCTCGGTAGCTCAGAAGGGTAGCTCCTACTTTTTACTTATTTCCCTTCTTTCCCTTTCTCATCTTTATCGTCCACCGGATCCACATCGGCTTCTGTGTCAGGTCATGGCTCTTTGTTCTTATATTGCCTGTAAGGCTTCCTTCTATGGTACCCGTTTCTGACTCTTATCCTTTGGCAGTCTTCCTCCCTTCATGATCTTTCACCTTCAACACTTACCAATTGGGTCCGACATTTGATTCGATTAGCTTATTCCTTCTGGAATTTGTTCTAGGTGTCTTCTCATCAGATCAGACAACTCAACTTTACCCTTGCTTCTCGTCCTCCATTGGATGAGATTCTACAATCAGGTATGTGGACCAGGCACAATACATTAGTCTCCCATTATCTACATCAGCATTTCCCAAATTTTCCATCTAGAGACCGGTTTATTTTTGTAATTTTTCATGAGGCCCAGCTTCCTCAAATGCCTAATTAGATAACCTGCGAAGACATGGCTAAGTCTTAACATCAAACTGGAAGCAATACATAATCGATTATAAAATATACAGGTGTTTTATAATACTACTGTGTAAAAAGAAATAAAAGAAATTATACTTCATTGTTATTTAATCTTTACATTAACTGTATATTTATTAATATTCTTTTAAGAAATAAACTTACCTAATGAGAAGGGTGATGCTGTTTTTCATCACACAGCAACTTCAAATCAGGAGGAAAAGAAGTCAGTTTGATCCTCAAATCTGGCTCGACGTATAATCTGTTCCTGTACTTGTTTTTTAAGAAAACCAACGTTGAGAAGCCTGATTTGCATTTATAAGTCGTTACAAAGGTCATAAAAAATCTTACTGCTTTTTCTGATAAATTTAAATACTCAGCACAACAAATCAGCCAAAAAGTAATTAACGAGACTTGACTAAAATGGTCTTTCGTTGCGGTGTCACAGGACAGTTCAATAATAGAATCAATTTCTGATTCACTGAGTTGTAATCTTTCCTCATTT